GGGATGACTTTGCCGACGAGGTTGCGGTTTGACTTAGTTCTTCCCATGATCAGTGGTTAGCTGTGCTTGGTAGCGACGAAGGGTGCTAACTTGATTGTTCTAGCTCTCAATGAAAGCACCAAATGATAGAGTATATCTAGAGAGAAGTGAGAGCTAGAGAGAGAAGTGCAATAATATGCTTCAATAGAATGAATTCGTAACCCCTATAACTACTCCCAAGGGGAGTATTTATAGAGAAAATTAGGGTTGGGCTCCCAAGCCTTGGGCTTGGGAGGCCCATTTACAACTGGACCGCTACTGGGCCGAATACAAAGCCTCTAATGGGCTGTACAAATGAGTAAGTATAGGATCCGATTCTGGGAGGTCTTCGTGGCCGACGAGGGCACGGCCGACGAGGGCACCCGAGTCCCTTAGACTCAGGACCGTAATCTGAGTTGGCACCTTTTCGGCCGACGGGGGCGTCATGGCCGACGAGGGCGCCACTCTGTTGTCTTGTGCTCTGTTCTTCCGAGTATGTGGGTCCTGGGGCTCAGACCCATATACTCCATCATATATTTAATTAATTAAATAAACAAAACATTATATGAAAAAATAGATAAAATGGTCCTCTACAGTAACTTCAGCCAATACATCCAGAAAAGTAACTTTAACCCTACGTTTTTTTATTATTACACAATTCAACGCGCGAAATCAAAATTTACGTGTTTTATGAAAAAGTTGACTGATAAATCTGATAACTCGAAAAATATGGTTACTAAATGAGCTCTGAATTATACGACGTATATGATTCCGAAAAATCAATTATACGTGCGATGCACAAGCTTGAAAACTAGTATTATTATCCAGTATACAATTTTTAAGTAAACCATGAGTGTATTTGAAATTAGAGAAACAAAATATAGAACATAAAATTAATCACATATCTTAAAAACTTGAATAAATAATTTTTGCACTTATATTTGGAATATTATATACGAAGTACTTATCAAGCAGTATATAATAAAAATATAATGTATTACGAGTATTACTTTTCATATTATTACTATTATTAATTATTTATTGACAAAAGAAGATTAAAATGCAATGTATATTTAGTGAGGACAAGAAGATTAAGATGCAATGTATATTTAGTAAATAATAAATATATTTTTTCACTTTGAAGGGCGGTTTTGCCGGTTTATCCTGGTTTGATGACTCCGGGGCTGGGCTCGGGTTTCGGTAGGGTTACCGGTTAATTCTGGTTTCAGCCTATTAGCGGTTTTGAGCACAACCGGACCGGATTACCTACCGGTTCACCGAGATCCGGGCTGATCCGCTGGTCCGGTCTAGTTCTTCATACGTAGCCCCCAGTTGAAACTTTAAAGAGGTGTTCACAGTTGTCTTCGTAAGACAAATGAACTAAGCATACCATCCCTCCATGTACTAATTAAGCGGTAATTTAAGTTTTTTCGTTTTCCGAATTTACTCTTACCTTTACACCTTACCCTATTGCTACCCCCTCTACCCGCTACGCCCCCTAGCCTACCTTACCCCGACCCTACCCATGCCCCCACCCCAACCCATTTGCCGTACCCCCGCCCTGCTTACCACCCCAACCCCTACCTCGACATCTACCTGGAAAGCAGTTTATTGGCAACAAAACTAAAATCTGTTGTTTTAAAATATGACATTGGCTAGATCATCACATTTTCATCCATCAAAACTCATAGAAGTGTTCTTAAGTTAAAAGTAATTCACTCATCGAGATTCCAGACCGTGATTACTCTTCCAGTTCCTGGTGAGTATTGCTCTGGGTTCCACCTTTATTCCTTTTTTTTATTTTAATATGTTTCTCTTCAATTCTGCTTTGGTTTATAAGTGTGTTCTCTTTTTCATTCTTGGTGTCCTTTTCTCTGTTTTTTTTTCACTTATTGGTTCCATTCATTGCTTAAATTTCACCCCTATTTTATCAAATGTCTAGAACTGCATAAACTTTTAATACATTCTCTTGGTGAAAACTACACTTTGGATCTAAAAGGTATGATCTGAATGTCATAATTTGGCATTTCTCCTAAATTTATTGGACAATGCTCCCATAATTAGATTCATCATGACTGATACATGCACTTAAATGGAACTTCACCAAGTAAATTCCAAGTTCAAATGTAGTGTAATTTAAATTTGTTTTTTTAAGATGAGTTGGTTGATTCTAAACTGAAGTGATCTGAATGTCATAATTTGGCATTTCTCCTAAATTTATTGGACAATGCTCCCATAATTAGATTCAACATGACTGATACTTGCACTTAAATAGAACTTCACCAAGTGAATTCCAAGTTCAAATGTAGTGTAATTTAAATTTGTTTTTTAAGATGAGTTAGTTGATTCAAAACTGAAGTGCATTCTTAAAACTAGCGATTATATAATATGGCTTTTACAACATCCCTTTGTTCTAATGTATGAGTTAGTCGATTCTAAACTTAGATTGGGTTCCTCTTATTAGTTGATTCAAAGATTTATTTCTCTTACTAGTATTTCTTCTCTTATTCAATTTTATTTTTTTGTAATGGATGATTTTAATTGATTCCATTTTATGTTGTTTTTATAACTTTTGGTCATAGTTTTCACTGGCGCCTCTTAGAGCTTCACTTGATAATGTTTGTTAAAATTCTTAGGTGATCTTTCTTTCTTTTTCTAAATAGCATTAGTCAATGTTTGCGTTATTAGATGGTAATTCTAAAATTTTAAATGTCATTAGAGAATATCACCTAAAAAATGCCTATTATTACCTTCCATTACTTCCATCATCATTCAAATGACTGACTATCTATGTTACATCACAAAGCGATGTAGCATGAAATGAGAATCAAACTTATGGTCTCAATTTTTTATAAACAAAAAGTCACTGTTCATTGAACAGTAATTTCACTGTTCAATGAACAGTATTCCCGCTCGCACACCAAGCTAATCTCAAACGTCTGTTCCCATCAATCATCATTCATCACCCTTTTTTCTTTGCCCGATTCCTTCCTTACCATTTCGAGAAAAGTGTTAGTTTAGTTAAGGACATGAACTTGCATCAAAGGGAGTAAAGAGTACGTGACTTATTATTAGAAATTCAGAAGTACATAATCTTGGCTATCAGGTGTCAATTCGGTACTTCTGTGATATTAACGTTAAAAACACCTTACGTGGCAAAAAACGTCCGTTTTTTTCCAACGTTCGGATTCCAGGTCAGCCCCACGAGTATGTCTAACCCTAGTCTGAGTCTCTTCCTTGCATATCTCATTCATTTATCAGTTGCAGACATCTCACTTCCTTCATTCTTCTTCCTCACTTCCTTCATTCTTCTTCCTCACTTCCTCATTAGTTAATGTTGTTATTTCTTTCTCTTATGAGCTGTTTTCTTCCTCTCCTTCTACCTGTTTGTTGATTTGCCTCTTTGATATGTGTATCAGAATCACACATGGACTATGGGTATTGATCTTGTGGAATTCCCTTTAAGATGGTGACTTCATGGACGGATGATAACACGGGAAGGCCGTTCATAACATGTTCAAAATTGAAGGTCTGCTCTTCCAGTCTCTCTTGATTTGATATCTCCAATTGTTTGAAAATATGAAAGCAAATTTTATGTTAATTAGTAATTATTTAAAATTATTTTTCATGATAAGCATATGTGCATCTTTTTTAGGCCTCAGGTGGATGCAACACATTTCAATGGATTGATCCAAAAATGTGTCCGCGGTCCAAGATTATAATACCAGGTCTGCTGAGGAACAACAAGTTGAGCTTAATGAAAAGAATCAAAGGAGCAAAACCAAGAGGAGATGGTGTATGTTATGGAGTGCTATAGGACTAATGGTGCTACTACTGTTGTTTGTGGTTTTCTTTGATCATGAAAACAATAAGAGGTTAAATGGCTCCAGTGGTCTGACTTTGTATATCATAATGGTATAAAAGAGATGTAATATTCTGTCTTAGTGTGTGTTCTTATATATGACTTTACTAGTAGGTGTTTGTGTGAAAACTTATGTACACTATGGAGTTGTTATGTGTATGTTTCCGTGTACTCCTCCTTATTAGTTAATTAAAGAATAAATCTGGTGCAAGGAAGTATTTGTAAGTTCTTTTGAAATATGGGCCTATGTACTGCTTGTAGTATATTTTTTGACATTATAAAAGGAAGTTGCAGTTAGCATTAATGAATGAGCCAATGTACTGCTTGTAGTAGATGCAAAGCATTGAATTATAAGCCTGGCATGGCCAGGAGCAGGGGCCTAGTTGCAGGTAGCTTTATATTTGAAATAAAAGCTATTACACTAAGTTACAATGGTAGATTGTGATGGTCACAAGCTTCCACCTAAAGCCAAAAAGTTTGAGAGCTTCTTCACGCAGCTATATACTGTTTCACTTGCTTCTAGTGGCGAGGTTATATGCAGAATTACTTTCTCTACGTTGAGAATAACCAATTTGGCCTGTTTGTGAGTTCAACTACAACTGCACAAGTTCAGGATGCACCTGCTATTCGTGGACAATCGATGGGATCCCTTGTATTGAAGAAATTAATTTTTACCTTTTGAGCTGCATGATTCTCACTCAGCCCCACGGTCTGTATTGAATATTACTTGGTTTCTGGTTCATTTTAGTTTATCTTATACCTTGCTGTCATTCATTAGATTGGACACATGGAGCTATACCACCAGTATCTTGTATATCAGAGATTGCAAAATCTTAATTAAAGTGTAATGAACACCTGCACCTTTAACATCCTTAATTGAAGTAATATGATCTAAAACAGTACATTTTTTGAACAAAAAAAGATGAAAAGTTCCCTAAAGCTGCTTTTGAACACCTGCACCTTTACATACACTAAAGCACATGCACCTTTACATACACCTGCACCTTTACATACACTAAAGCTTTAACTAATATGAAATTCTGCACTGAAACATGATTCACAGAATATTAAGAATTCCCTAAAGCAGCATACACAAAAACAATGCACAAAAAATTGAATCCCTTGCAGCTACATACACAATAAAACTGAATTGACAAAGCCCAACGCATTAAGAATAATGTTAATAATAATGTATTGACAACAAAACAAGTTGAACAAGACCAGATGCTATATATGCATCATCAGTATCTCGGCTCCCATGAACCCCAAAAAAAGATCATTTGTAGATTACAAAACACAATTGATACACTACTACTACGACTACTGAGTAGGGTCAATGAGTTGGGAAACATCTTGTGCAACATCTTCCATGGAATCAAATAGGTGGTGAAATCTCTGTCTTGCTGCAGTGGCATTTCCAGTAAAATCCATTTCTTCAACATGCCTTTTTTTATAATTCCTTGAAGTTTGAGTATCTCCTTTTGATTCATTGATCTTAATCTCTGTCAAATAAAACATGAACATCATATACCACAAAAGTCAATATACATGCATAAACATAGTATACCTTATCAGAAATAGAAAAAGGTTACGTGTACAGAAAGTTTACAGACTTATATTACCTCCAAACCTGTTGCCGTTATACAATTGTTACCTCTCCACTGGAACACGCCATCATTATTTTCCTTACTCATTTCTTGATTGTGCACAAAATATGCTTCCAAACTATTATGAGTAGGACTTGTGCTTCTTCTGGAGGCTCAATCATAGCATCACTTGCCTATCATACAATCATATTATGCAATATGAATGAAAAATGTTAGACAAAAATTTCAATTTTCAGTTTCAAGGTAATAAAGCACATGCATTTGTTAAAATATATTGACCTGATCTAAATTCTTCTTCATTGGGCATGTCTTTCGTGTGTGTCCTGTTTGAGAGCAATGCCCACATTTCCTGTGATTTCTATTTTTAGAAACTTCTAAGTCTAATGTGCAAGACTGTTGGGTGTTATCTTCTGGCAGACCCTCATTAAAAGTATCCTGATTTTCCATTGGGAAAGAAGTCAGGCCTTGCATTATTATCTCCTTTGATGGACACCCTTTTTTATTGTGACCTTTTCTAAAGCAGAGTTGACAAGTAATACTTGTACCTCTTTTGGTTAACTTTCCACTTCTAGGAAACTCACCCAACTCTTTAATTCTGTTTTTTCTTTGTCTGCCAAGCTCTTTTTGTTTCAACTCTGCTGGAAGTACTATGACATCAGTTTTGGGCCAGAAAATAGGACCTGCTAAGGGGGTCATCATGTGAGCATAAGCCTTACAATACATGTCTTTTTTGTACCAATTGGAGACACATCCCATTGCACAGATGACATGCTTACACGGAATTCCAGTCCCATTATTCACATAAACAACTTCTATTGCTCAAGTCGACGAGATACGTGTCTGGTCCACAAAAAAACCTCATAACCCTGTGATCCATTAAACTGCACCCTCCACTTATAACTTGCTCTAACATTTTTACTTCCTTCTCCTAATCCTGGGACCCAATACTCCAACCCATTTATCTCCCAAATCCCTATTCTTTATAAGTCTCTTCATCACCAACTTCCTAACAAATTCAAGCTGAGAATACCCCAAGAGAGACCTAGCATTAACCCCTACAATATTTTCAAAAAACTAAGTTAGATTTCTACTTATACAATAAAAAAAGATTAATAAATAAATATATATATGGAACACCTTCTGTTGATCAGATACAAATGCCCAGCCTTTCCCTCTATCAATGCCTAGATTATCTCTTAAGATCTCAAGAAACCATTTCCAAGTTGCCTTTGTTTCAGATCCCACAATTGCCCATGCAATTGGGAACATCTGGCTATTCCCATCTCTTCCCACAGCAGTTAAGATTTCACCTTTTACATCAGACTTCGAAAAGGCACCGTCTATCCCAATCAACCTTCTACAACCCTCTATGAACCCCTTCTTGCACGCATCATATGACACATAGAATCTGTCAAATATTGGGCTTGGTTGTTTCACCTGGAGAATACATGTATTCCCATTATTTAACCTTAAAATCTTTGCCTTATAATCCTCTAACTTTTTGTACTCTTCTTGTATATCTCCCTTTTCCATCTTTTTAATAATTGACTTTGCCTTCTTCATCTGCTCCAAAGAGACATCACAATTAAGTTCATTTTTTACCATCTCTTGCATTGAAGACAGTTTCATCTCACAGACACCAACCTTAGATTTGAAGAAGTTATTAACCAACCATCTTGCAGTTGCACTAGGTATTTGCCAGCTAGAATTGCATGTGTGAACCCGCATCCAATTTCACATCAATGAATTCACATCCTTGCTCTGTTGAAGATGGAGCCTTGTTTTGAATACAACAGCAGATACCCAACCGGGTATGTTAGGTTACCCGACCGAGTATGAGGAAGATTTTGGCCTGGTAACTCTCTGGAAGTGATACCCGACCGGGTAAGGTGTTATACCCGACCGGGTAAGGTGTTTTACCCGACCGGGTATTTTGAAGTCTGGACCAGTGAAGAATACCCGTCTGGCTACCAGACCAGGTAGCGTGACAGAAAACTCTCTAGATCAAGATACACGACCGGGTACATGGGTTTACCCGACCGGGTATACGGGAAAAATAAAGTGCGAATAAACTAGATCTATCTTAATTTATTCTACAAGCATTTGTAATTCTAGCTCCAGTTCTAAGTTACAAGAGATCAGTTAATTCATTCAAACACAAATTAAACACATTCATGCAATTAATCCATCATTAATTTAGCCATACATCGTGATTAACCCCTTCATCAATCTCAAATCCCTAATTAAAACTACTCCCGACTCATAATTGAATAATCAACACAATTGGAAATGAATAGAAATAATTGTCATTAATTAAAAAGATGAAACTTACAAATAATCCTAGGGTCATGAGCAAAACAACGGAAAAACTAGTCTATACTCGAGCCGAGGCCTCTCTCCAAGTTTCGTAACCCTTAAATGGGAGCATACAGGCCTTATTTAAAAAAAGGAGCTGAAATTCGAGTACAATTAGAGTTTTCGGGATCAGGCACGACGCCAGGCACGACCGTGCCTGCGGAGCTAGGCTGAATTTTCGCGTCTAGGCATAACGTGCACCCAGCCAGGCACGACCGTGCCTTGGTTCCAGCGGATGAGATCTCCGATATGCTACAGGCATGGCGTGCCTCATGGCCAGGCACGACCGTGCTTGACTTCCAGGGAACTGCTGCTTCATTACACTACAGGCACGACGTGCCTATCTCCCAGGCACGACTGTGCCTGACCCTTTTCTGTCGTCTGGTCATCTTATAGGCACACACGGCGTGCATGGTTGCTGGGCACGACCGTGCGTGACCTTTTCTTCATTTTTTTCTCTTCGTTTCTTCTCCCGAATGCTTCCAATTGCTCCAGAATCGATCCCAAAAGTCTTCTCTTCATTAATTCTTCACCGTGAACCTCCCAGAGACCTCTAAAACTCTCTTGATGCTCATCAACTCTTTTTTATTGCTTCTCAAACGCTGGTGCCGGATCTAATTACCTGATTTTTGACTCCAAACAACATAAAACCCGAACCAACGCCTGATACACATAACTTGAGCTAAATTAAAATTGAGATTTGTGACACCTAAAAGTTAGGGAAAACATCAAAAGTCGATCCCAACACGCATCAAATGCGTGTTGTAATACGGACTTATCAACGGACAACAGTATTTACGTTGAGCTTGACTCGCCCTACACCTGGTCTACTCCAAATTGTTCGATCCCACCTCTCAGGGGCTGCCTGAGAGCCACATATTTGTTGAGCATTCTCCCAACCTGCAACAAAACAACAACATCTAAGTCTTAATCCCAAAAGAATTTGGGGTCGGCTAACATGAATCGATCTATGATATGGATGCCAAAAAGAGAAGACGGATAAGAAAAGGAAAAAAAAAAAGTAAGATAAAATGAATAAAATAAAGACAAATAAATATAAGATAACAATAACACAAGAATATAACAAAGATAAAAGATAAAAAATAAAAGAGCATAAAAAGCTAGAAGATAAAAATAACATAAGAATATAAAATGATAAGGAAGATAAACGATAAAAGAAAAAAAAAAAAGGAAAAGTAGACAAGAAATCAATCGTCCACACGGATGTGCACCCTCCACTTCGCTCTCTCCAAAACCATACTCTCATCCAACCCAAGAAGATGCATATCAGTTCTGGTTACTCTAATTCAAGTCTGTTTGGATCTTTCTCTCCTTCTCTTCTCTGACTCTTCTCCCCGCCCTTCAGATTGTGAATCACTCGGTCTTCTATGCATATGCTCAAACATGCAACAAAAAATTCAACAAAATTTGTTTCGATTCCAACCAAACCCCATTCGAGACCCTGCAATTCCTTTCGCCCCACAACCCCCAACAGCCCCAAACCAGCTTATGTAGCTCCTCCACTGAGCGAGTCTGAAATTCGTACCATCTCCAAAAATCAGCCCCCGTGCAGTTTGCTCAAACCCATCTTACCCCATTCAACTCCTCCTTAGCCACCAGACACATAACAAAATGATGGCACCATGACTCTTCATATCTCCCGCATAGCCCACACTTCATCACACACCAGTCCACCCACCGGATTTCAGATTCACTCTCGCTGGTATAAGACACAACAAAGCCACCAAAAAAATTGTTTAATCTTGGGGTGTAATCTCCAGCTCCAGATTGAAGTCCAACCGAGCCAGTTCGAACTATTAAACTCCCCAACAAGTTTCAGATAGCAGCTTCGGAGTTCGGACTGAAAAAATCCCATTTGATTCCCATCTGAAATTTTGAAATTTTGAGAGTATAAAGTCATGTTCGATTTGATATATTACGGCCCCCGTAACTTATTACGAGTAAAAAGATACGACTTCTGGAAAATCAGTACTATCTAAACGTAAAATCACCAAAATTTGATGCATACTATAAATTATTTTCCCAAATTTTTGAAATAGGATAGAGTTCACTCAATACTTACGTGACACGACTTAGAAACAGAGCAAAGACAACGTATCTTATAAGAGATCCTATTTTGAAACTTCTTTATTGTTTTAATCGTATTTAGGGTAAATACTTTAATTAAAAACTACACACGATATATATTTTTTGGTAAGAAGCTAAAATGTTAATTGATAACAAATCAGTAGCACAATTACAACAACACTGAATTTGATTTCACTTATAAATGGAAATATATGTGTATAAAAATTCAATACTTAGACATTCTGTTGCAAGTAAATTTGACTTTATTTTAATCCACCTATATGTTACAAGAAATAATTAATCATTAAAGCAAAATTAATGTAGTTGTTATATAAATAAACTCATTGGGAGAAGGAGTCAAGTCAACAAAAGATTTTATATTATTCGTTACAGAAGATGAACCTACACGTAGTCGCTTCGATATATCGTATCAGAAACTTTAGCACTTAATACGATGAAAGAATTTTTGACTATTTGTTTGTTAATGAAAGATGAAAATCATTGTTATTTGATACCAACAAAGGTTTGATAACCATAGTGATGGTCCCGGATAGGGTGAAAGTCTAGAGGGGGGGTGAATAGACTTTCAAATCTTTTCGACCTTTTCAGATATTCCCCTCTAGAAGAGTTGATCTATAATCTTTTGAGAGATTAATAGATGCACAGCGGAAGTCTTTACCCTTTATGTAATGTGTAACAGCTTTCTTGTGATGGATGAGAGTCTTTGCTTATTGGTGAGCAGTTGGCTAGGCAGTTTGGCTAGAAAGCAGGGAACTGCTTAGTCGTCTGCTTACCAAATACTTGAAGTATGATGAGGGTTCATTCAGAATCTTTCTGGGAGTGGGAAGAGCTTCCTGATGATGTACTGAAGTGGATTGATAATCAACCTTAAATGAGAGCAGTTGTCTCAGCAGTTGGGTGGAAACCAGGGAACTGCTGAGGCACATGCTGAAGTAATGGTGAAGGTATGGAAGGTTTGATTATATGGCGTTGCTCAGGATGATGTAGGCTTTATGAAGATGTGCTTTGTGCCAAGTAAGTAGAGGGTTTTACTTAGGCAGAGGTGTAAGGCAGTTAGGTGATAGTGAGGGAACTGTAGAGGTACCTGCTTGGTTTTCACCCTGAATCACAGAGATTATTCTGAACAGACTTCTTAGAGATAAAGATGTAAAGGTCTAGTAGTGTCAAGATGTTTACAGGAAATACTTTTGTGTGAGCAGTGGGCTCAGCAGTTGTGTAGTCCTTAGGAGACTGTTGAAGAACAGCATTTTTTGCTCAAAGGAATATCTCTCTACTTAGTATGCTCAGGCTTGGTTAGAAACTTTCATTTCTGCCTATATTTATAGGCTCTCCGGTCAATCGATCTTATCCGTTGGTTAGGATAGATCAATCTTGTTCGTTGAATCTTGATCGCAGAGGATAAACAACTTGTTGTTTATCTTTCTCTTTGGAGCGTATGAGTTCTGCTTGTCTTGCCCGCCTAGGCACTGTAGATATCTTTTTAGGCTTCAGACTGTGCGCCCATGCTGTGGGTCCATGTATTTGTCTTTATTTTGCCTTCGCTGAAATATCTCTTTGTGTGCGTCTTCAATGCTCCGGACCCTGTCTTTAATAACTTTTGAGCCAAATGAAATATGCCGGTAGGATTTAAATATCCTATTAAGGTAAGAACTTACCTTATTGCATTTTATTTTTCTTTACCGGTAATATTTCATTAGTCTCAAAAATTGTACATTTATTTTATCACATTAATACTAGACTAAAATGAGATACAATGTACGCGTGCTAAGTATAGTGGCATCATCAAAATCTCATCAAAATTGGGTACTAACAATTTCCCCCTTTTTGATGATGCCAAAACTATACACCACAAGTCACAAATATTTTTATTTGATTTTCTAAGAAGTTTTGTACATTGTTCTGATTTCTAGCGCACAATAGTTTATAGTCTCTTTCGGACTAGTTAATCTAGTTTACTCTTTCTTGTCTTCCTCTGATTTCTTCTTAGCTTCTTCCTTGTCCTTTCGTTCTTTATCTTTTCTTCTACGGACTTCCATTTCCTCTTGTAGCCGCTTGTTCTTCATTCTGGTTTCAGCTCCTTTCTTGGTTGTTAGTGATCTTTTAGATGAGGGGCCTGCTTGTGTTGTCCTTTCCCCCTTTTTGGCATCATGAGCAGGGGTCTTGTTTTCATCGAACAATGCTTCTATCTCTGGATCAGAAACACTTTCTTCTTGTGTTCTTTTTGACGGATCTAGGCCATATACCTTGATAGATAATGCTTTGATGTAGTTGTTTACGTCCAGCAGATCTGTTCTTACCTCATCTCTGACTTCATTTTCGATCCTTTGAACCCTTTGGTTGGTTGCCTCCAAATTCTGGCCCAGTCTTTGAAGGTCATTTCCATGTTTTAGGAATGCCTCTTGTGTGGCTTGGTGAAGGTCAGTGAGATGTTTGGCAACATCAGTTCGTGTTTGACCAATTGCCTCAGAGTGTTCAACTTGCTTTGTGATCAACTTTTGTGAGAGTTGGAGACTGGCAGGAAGCTCCTTGGTCTTGAGGTGTTGTATGAACTCTTCATGTGCCTGTAATGTTAGAAGGGCCTGCTCAAGGTTGGGGGAAGATTTGGAATAGCAGGTACCTGAGCAGAGACTTCTGCTGTTGGTGTGGAGTTACCAATTTGGCCCGAGGCAACTGCTAGCTCCTGTTGGCTTAGTTTCTTCAGTGATTCCACAATATGATTTTCTAGCTCTTCATCCCTGGCCTTTAGTGTTTCAAGCTCTTTGTGAATTGCATCCTATTGAGCAGGTTGCTGGGTTAGTTGGATTTGCAATTGTGCCTTTTGTTCAGAGTTGAATACTTGCTGAATCATGAGATTGCTTTTGAGATGGCAATGAACTTCAGCAAATCTCATCTCTAATAGTTCATCAAAATGTTTCTTCATTTTGATTAGCCTTTTGTGCAACCTAACCTCAGCATTGCTTATGAATTTGATGGTTGCCCTTCTTTCATTGATGAAGACCTCTGCCAGTGTTGGAGTGTCTTCTTCATCGTCATGCTGAATGTGATCTTTGATCTCTTTTGATGTGGCAGGCGGCTCAGGAGCTGTATCTTGATGTGGTTCTAAGTTGAGATCTAACAGGGCAGTTCCCTGCTGGATGGTAGCAACTAGTAGCTTTTTAGGAGCTTTGGAGGATTCCCCTCCTCCTTGCGTTTCCATTCTTGATTTCGCCATGACTCTTCTTAGTTCTTGATCACCGGAAGAGGAGGAGTGAATGATTTGTTTACCTCTTGAGCTGGGAGGACCTTTTGGTGGATTATCAGCATCATCATCATTATCATCACTTGAATCTTCAATCTCATCCTTGGCAGTCAACTTATTTTTCTTTAGGACATATACTTGGTTGATTTTGAGGATTTTGGTTGCTTCTGCCATATCACTTGTACCAAGCCATTCTACCGCAAAGTCTTCTTCCTCTATAAAGAGTGAGAGGGTTTCAGCTTGATGGAGGATACGTGATAGCTTCCAAGCTCTCCATGCCTTGACCCTGGTGAATTCAGCATTTAATATTTGTAGGGGAGTTTGGACAAATGAGGCCACTGTTGGTGATGGAGGTATCTGCTCATCTTCAAGGGGAGCCGTCTGCTCGCTGAGTTGAGGGGCCTGCTCTATTAGTATGGGAGCTACCTGCTCTGTTTGAGTCCCCTGCTCTGCTTCTTGGGGATCCAACTGCTCCTTTTGTTGATTCCTTCTCTCTGTTTGTTGTGTGATTTTGGGAATAAGTATCGAGAGAGGAAGAGCAGAGCTATTGCTTCCATTTGAAGAGTTGGAAGAGGATTCTGTTGTTTCCTTGATTGCTAGTGATGAAGAGGCCACTGCTTCTTCTTCGTGAATGATGGCAAGAGGGGAGAGCACTGCTTCTTCTTCCTGTATGAGTGAGACCGCTTCTTCCAGTTCTTCTTGTAAATTTCTGGTTGCTGTCCTTGGTCTTTTAGACTGAATTTCTTTGCAGCCAGATCTTGGTCTTTTGGCTAGCTTAGTCTTGATTCTAGTGAATTCAGTTTGGAGAGGCTCATGGGATTGGAAAGTAGCATCTTGCTTTTGTATTTCTGGAGCCCCTGCTTTAGAGGTTTGATGGAGAAACTTCCTCCAATTGGTTGCTTCTTTGATTTCGCCTATAATGCCCTTTTTCTTGAGAAGCTCCCCAATTAAGAATCCGTACCCCAGCAATGGTAGACTTCCATCCTTTCCTCTTCCCTTGTGAAACTTATTCACATATTTGATAAGTTCTTTGTAGACATATCGTGACCAGCTGTGTGGGGAGCCAGAGATTATGGCTGCTAGTGGAAGTGCCCTTTGTGAGTTAATTTCATCCAGTGCAGTGGTTCTGTTGTCAATGCATTTATATAGGATGTCTATCAGAAGAGAGTATTCTGGTACCAGCATGCCCTTTTTCACCTTGAGAGTGTTAAGATGTTGAGCCTTTGGAAGGAACACCATGTCTTTGAAGTTTTGCTCGTCAAGGGTGACGTCATTGATGTCTCTGACTTCGTTCCCAGGTAAAGACAGCAGTTCTTTTATCTCTTCCTCTTTTATCTCCACTTCAAACCCCATTACTACAGATTTCAGCGTCTCAGGTGTGGAGTTGATGTAGAACTCTGCTACTATCTCAGGGTAGAAACAGGGGTAAGGGTAGGTGGCCATTTTAATGAGTCCTGTTGTTTCTATCTTTCTGAGGAGTTCCCTCATGAGATCCTTGTTCTCTGCTTTCTCAAGAATCTTAGAAGTGTTTAGTATGGAACCGGT